GATCCTCGGGTGGGCTTCCCCAAATAGATGGCTGGGTCCAGCCCCAGTTTTTTAATTTGTAGGCAGATCTGGGACGGGCCTGAGGTTTTGCGTTTCTAACAAAATCAAACACGGTGCTTTTGTTACTGCCACAGAACCGGAGCTGAAGAGGTTGCTGTTTCCTCCCAGCCTCCTTCATGTGTTCCTCTTCTAGTTCTTTCTTAGTGTTTGGGAAGGGCATCGCGAGTCCCAGGTGACGGTGATGCTACTGATCTGAGAACCACGGAGTAGACGCTATTACTCCCATTCGGTAGTTGAAAAAAACTGAAGTTCAGAGAGGTTAAGTTCCTTCCCTAAGGCCATTCAGCCAGAAAGCGGCCCAGCAGATATTCATGGAGGTCTGCCTGGGTCTGGGTTCCATACACTTTCCACTTCTTCCTCCTGGTTTTCTGCCTCCCCCACTCCCGAGCCACTACACCTGCCTTTAGGAACTAATCCTGGCTTCTCTATGGTACTACCCAGCTGGTAAGGCCAGCCATGAACACTAAAATGCAGGCATTTTGGTAGCTACAGGCCAGGATCCCTCCGAACACACAAACCTCAATTCCACAGCTCAGAAGAGATGAGAAATAAGTATGAGTAGGCAGACCATACCACATCCTAACAGACCCTGGATGTCACAACCTCAGTTCGAAGTAACTGGAACAACAGCACAGATTTCATAAATGATAGTGGGTTGGATTGCTAGCCTCAAGGGAAATCCCTAAGGCGTAGGGCTGGGGATTCAGTTCCCTGGTATGAGAAACATGTTCCAGCCTTTTCCTGCTGTCTCTCCTCACAGTGCTCTGTGCCTCTTGGCATTCACCCTCAGGACAGCAAATGGAATCAGGGGCGGGGCGGGGGGGAGTCACTGGGGTGTTTGGAGTTGGTTGGGCCTCTTACCTTTGGTAAAGACAAGAGCTATTTTTTTTTTTTTTTTAGTTTATTCATTTATTTTGAGAGAGAGGGAGACAGAAAGAGCAGAGGAGGGGCAGGGAGAAAGGGAGAGGGAGAGAATCCCAAGCAGGCTCCAAGCTCAGCACAGAGCCCAACATGGGGCTTGAACTCATGACCACGAGCTCATGACCTGAGCCAAAACCAAGAGTCAGACGCTTAACCAACGGAGCCACCCAGGAGTCCTAAGACAAGATCTGTTCTTAACTAATTGCACGTGCTTCCTACCTGTGTTTTAAGTTCTCCCTTTAGCTCTTAGTCTGCTTCCCATACTACATTTGAGAGTGAGGTCACAAGTTGCCTTTATCTGTACTAAAGAATAGAAAGTGAAGAGTTTTTCCCCCAACCTCCCCCTTGTTTCGTATCTAGCCTGTAGAGTTTGGGAAGGCCTTGGGAAGGATGTCATGTGTCAGGGAAAGCTTGTTTGTGGCAATTTAGTGTTCCAGAAGATTCGGGACAGAAGGTGGGTGGAGCCCAGAGTTGGGAAAACCAGAGAGGTTTGCCCCGTGAAGGATCCCTGCCTGATTCCCAAGGAAAATCCTTTAAGACAGGGTATCTATTGTCTGGGACCAAGGGGAGCAGCATGAGGAATGCAGTGACAGGGCCTGGATCACACGGAGTCCTGCCAGAGTCCAGGGCCTTCCGGCCACATGGCAGAGACGCTGGGCAGGAGGGCCTGTGAGGGGCTGCAGCCCACTGCCCGGTGCCCCCAGGCCACGCCACCGTCGTTCCAGAGTTCCCTGCACCAGGATGGTGGGGCTGACCCGGCGGATGTCCTGCAGGGCCACGACTCCGGGAGAGTGGAACACCCGCCCCATGTTCCCCATCCAGCCCATCTCCTTTGAAGGCTTATCTTTTATCTCCCAAATCTCTAGCAGATGATGGTATCTGTTTCTGAGCCAGCTCACATCTAAGGAGCACCGTAGCAATGACTGCTATGCTCAGGGATGGGGCACGGCACCCGTTCTCTGCTCATCTGACGTGTCCTTAGGTCATTAGTTCCAACACACTCATCCTTTTTGGCTGCTCTGTCGTTTTGAACACACTAAGGGGTCTGGGGGGCGTTTTTGTGGGGGGAGAAGTAAAAAAAACTTCCAGGGTAAGGATGACTCTCCCAGCCAGCTGGAATTGGTTGACTCTTTTATTGAATATAATACACGTACAGAACAGTGCATGGAGCATCCGTGAACAGCTTGATGAATTCTCCCCCCTCTGAGCACAGCACCCACACCAAGGAACTAACCGTGACCAGCACCCTCCTGGTGCCTCCTTCCAGTCACCTCCACCCCATGAGGGCCCCGGCTACCCTGACCTCCGTCAGCAGACAGTGACTTGAGCGGGCTGGCGTTTATCTCCCGCTCACAGGACAACCTGACTGGAAGTGCCCTCCAGTCCAGAGTCGGCGGAGCTTCCCGGGCTCAGCAGGATTGATCTGGGACTGACGAGCGGTGGGGAGGGCCTGCTCGGCAGCTCCAAACCCCGCTGACGCACCCAGCTGCTGCCCCAGCCACCCCAGAGGGGTGCACAGGACCGGGGGCGGGGGGGCCATCTTGCCTATCAGAGGGTTCTCCTGTCTCCAGGCGGGCCGTCCGGGAGCTCAGCCTGGTGACTTTGTGGAGGGGGAGGGGGGAAGAGCTCTCTTTCCATGTGCTTCTAGAAGTCCTACCCTGTGTTCCAGGCCTTGGGAGGTCCCTGGTTCAGGATGACTCACCCGCATTTACGTGCAGAGTAGCTGAGGTCTGCAGCCTGGGAAAACTAGCACGTGGCATTTGGTTGGACTCGCCTCATTCAGGGCAGCCCTCACTGTTTGGAAACCATTTCCCCCGAGCGCCTGTGCCAGGCCCTCTGTTTCGCCAGGTGACGCTGAGCACAGGTGCCCGCTGCCAGCCTGGACCTGTCCCTAGCCATCCTTCATTCGTCCTCCTTCACTGGCCCCCACTGAGGGCTGACTCCACATCACGTGTACTCATGTCACTAACAGGAAGCCAGATCTGTCTTTGTGCTCACCCCACGAATGTCACGCACCATTAGACTCTGCCCTCTGCTTCCTCAGCAGGGGGCTGCTACAGAGGTGCCGGCCAGAGCCCGTGGTCAGGAAGAAACGCTTCTGCACCACTCCTGACGCCCCCCCCCCACCCCACACTGACCCTCCCGAGGAGCCCTGGGGCCCAGACTCTGTGGGTTCTTCCTTTGTCACGTCCCTTGCCCTGCCCTTTCCTTCCCTCTTCAGCCCCTACCACCACATGACTCTCCCTAAAACACAGACTACTCCCGGCCCTGCCCCTCCATCTATGGAAAAAGTGGGAAAGCTTCGCCCTGCCCCTGCCTGTCTCCCCTGTTCAATCCAACCTATCTTTCCAAACTTAGAGTTAATCACTCCCCTATAACTCTTTTTTTTTAAATATTTGTTTATTTATTTTGAGAGAGAGAGAGAGAGAGAGAGAGAGAGAGAGTGTGTGTGTGTGTGTGTGTGTGTGTGTGTGTGTGTGTGCGCAAGAGGCAGAGAGACAGAGGGAGACAGAGAATCCCAAGCAGGCTCCTTACTGTCAGTGCAGAGCCCAGGGTGGGCGGGGCCTGGATCCCCTGAACCATGAGCTCATGACCTGAGCCGAAATCGAGTCAGATGCTTAACCAACTGAGCCACAGATGCCCCAACTCTTTCTGTACTTGTTGCCCCTCAAATACCACCTTATTTCTTGCCTCCACTCATGTGATCCCATCATCATCTTGGCCAACACCACTTCTCTGAATCCACCACCACACTGAATCCTCTCCATCCTCCACGGCCCAGGTGAAAGCCCTTCTCCTCCAGGAAGCCTTCCTTGACCATCCAGCCCTAACCCTCTCTATCCTCCTCTGAACCATCAGAGCACCGAGCCATTTATTACCTGTCATTATCTATTTAGCTTTGAACTGTGAGCTTAAAGTATTCCCAGGTACAGACCACAGCCCACCCTTCTGATCACCCACGCACTCCGCAGTGTGCCTTGCACACAGCAAATACATAAGGGATGTTAGTAATGATGGAGCCATGCAGTGCTAGGACCAAGGGGACCTTGACCTGTAGGATCATTGGTTAATTAGCTCAGTGACTTTGCTGTGCCTCCTGGGTTAACAAACATCCAGAGGCTAGCTTTTGCAAACCTAAGGCAGACCTTTTTTGGATTCTGCTTACGCTGTCGAGATCAACTCCTCTGCCTGTCACCACTCCTCCTGTGCCAGTGAGGCAGTCCCAGCCTCCTCACTATACCAGTCCATCTTCCCCATTGCTTGTGACCGTCCCTAACAAGACATTATTAACATTCCTGTGCTTGTCAGTGGACCTGCTACTTGGCCTCCATTCCCACCCCAGCTGACGACCAAATTTCCAGTTCATTGCGACACAGCAGCTGGGCTGATTTCAGGCTGCTAACCTTGCAGGCCCGCCAGAAGTGGCTAATGTCATTCTTGAGCCAATCCCACAGAAACCCCATTGCTTACTCGATGTCCCTCTCTCTCCTCATGCACGAGGCAGGCATCCCTCTTCACGAAGGACTAACTGTCACTACCCCTGAACTATGCTTGTTTACAAACATGGCAACAAGAAGTTAATCCTAGGCACACTGACAGCTTAACTCCTGGGGCCTGAGCCAAACTTCCAGAAAGGAGCCCTTTGTTCTTTGTTTTTTGGAGAATAAATGTCCTCCAGAGGAGAAGGTCTCTCTCCTAGCCAAGGCCCTTGCAGTCTGGAGGTAACCCGGGCACATTCACCTGGGAGGTTTGGTAGAAATCCTTGCAGGAAGCTGGAAACCTTAACGCTGGGATTCACAGTTTATGTGCACAGAGCAGGCTCCTGGGCTTGGAGAAAGTGCTGCGTGGAACCTGGGTGGAACCGTCCTTTACAGAAGCCTGGGTACCCCCTTTTAATGATAGCAGAGTTGCTCTTCTCAACCCCCACCGTCACCTCCACAGATCGTGGAGTTTCTGGCTTTCTCATTAAATACAGCCATCTCCTCAAAAATAAAAAAGTATGCAAGATCTCTACTTACCAAAATAGCTCCACTTGGATCCTGCAAAGAACAAAACAAGGCAAAGTAAGTGCAACTGAACTTGAGCAAGCTAGAGAAAACTACAGATTTTATTTTGAAATGGGTGCGGTCACAAAGGAGGTGGACACCCAGGCGTAAAACGTCATTGGAGTCGGTGTCAGAACAACCGGTTCCCAGAGTCACCGTGCTCCAGAGGGAGGCACAAGGCCATGGGTTCGGGCTGGGGCTCCAGGATCAGGGAGGGGGCTTCTTGATTAGAAGCCTCCCAGATCTTAAGCCAAATTTTATTTTTCGGAATACGTAATAAAATTCACAAGGCTCAAAACCCAAAAGCTCCCGAAAGGTACCAGTGAAAGTTCCTCCTCCCACCCGCTCTCCCTGCTTCCATTAGAGACAGCCAGTTTTATAGTTGATGAGAACATTTTCACGGTCTGACTACACACACACATGTAATCACGTTCTTTCTCCCCCTTTGCACACAAACGTCTGCATACTGGAAACGGGGGTCTGCATCTTGCTCCTTCCCACTGAACAGCATACCCTGGAGAGCAGTTCACCTCCGTGCATAAAGAGGAGAAAAGTCATCTCAAAAGGCATGTTCTTCGTGGAGGAAGCTGCCACCCTCACCTGCGTTAGAAGGCCAGGGGCGGTAAGAACGTGGAGAAGTTCTGCCGGGAATATAATGGAAGCCGCCTACCCCCTCCCGCTCCACGCCCTTCACAGGTAGAAGTCCTCTGTTCCCACGTCAAAACACAGTTTGGGAAAAGAGGCTGCTGGGCGGCACTTTTAGTACCCCGCCTGACACCTCCCTCGTCACCTCCAGAAGGACACAGAGACCCTGAATCGAGACTCAGGGTGTCTCAGGGGACACCGCCAGGGAGAGGGACTCTCTAAATCCTAAGTGCCTCTCCTGGCTTCTCTGGAGGCCTCCATCATTCTGGGCCCACGGGGTACAGTCGGAAGAAGCTCTCACGTCTCCTTTTTCTCCTGGGAATTGATTTGCAGTAAAGCTTTAACTGACCAGCAATCTGCTCACTTAGCACAAGTGGGCATTTTCTACTCAAGCCAATGGTGATTTTGAAAAGCTAAAAGAGTTTTTTAAAAAAGGGAGGGTGCGCTTGGGTGGCACATTTGGTTAAATGTCCGACTCTTGAGCTCGGCTCAGGGCACGACTTCACAGTTTGTGAGTTCGAGTCCCGCATCAGGCTCTCTGCTGTCGGCACGGAGCCTGCTTTGGATGCTTTGTCTCCCCCTCTCTCTGTCCCTCTCTTGTTCATTCTCTCCCTTCCCCCTCTCTCAAAATAAATAAACTTAAAAAAAACTTTGGAAATCATTGAGTCTCCTTCTCAATCTGTAGTGTGGGAAAGAAGGGGGTGTTCAGATCTCTTAGACTATCTGATGAGTACCTAAGGACCTCTTCCCCAAAAAATGCCTGTAGGCTTGGACACACAAGATTTCACATACAGGTAATTTCCAGAGGTCCACAGACCCTCTAAAACCTGCTCTGGACCCCATAGGAGTTAACAGTCCCAAGATTAACCTTCCCTGAATTAGCAGTTAGATGAAGACATTCAGAACCATGGGGAAACCGAACTTGTACACTACCCCAAAGTGTACCGCTGGACCTTTTACTGAAACAACACTGCAAAGGAACAAAGGAGGCATTGCCGTGGAACCAAGCTACAGAAGACCTCAACCCTCTTTGCTGAATATTTTCCTTCAGCGGTTTTGCCTGAGGGGTTCATTATTAAAATGCAATCATGGATTTCAGAGACAGAGGAAATCAGACTGCCACTTAGGCTGGGCAGCGCACTTGGAAGCTCAGGATCTAGAAGCTCACAAGTCATCGGGGAGTTTATCCTCGCCACTAACCCGGAGAGACGGGCCACTGCGGTGAGCCTGGAGACCACCAGAAACACAGCTGCTGCCCGTGAGCAGTCCTGCCTTGTCCACAAGTTGAATTGCACCTGCCCCAAATCAAATCATAGCCTCAGTCTTCCGCACCTTCCGCTCTCCTCCCCAAAGCTGGCCACGCTGGGGTTTTCCCTACTGTTGTAGCTCTTCTTCTGATGAGGCATCTGTGTGATACTTTGGAAAGCTCAGGGACCAGTGGTATAGAGTGGACATCTGGGACCGTAAAGCCTCGCAGGACCAAGGACTCGGTCTTTAAAAAGCAGCGGCATCCAGAGTGTGTGTGTGTGTGTGTGTGTGTATGTTTGCTTTATCTGCAAGTAGCACCTCCTGGTTCCTCGCCTCTAGCTTTAGGGGCAGGAGTCTTTTTTTTTTTTTTTTT